AAATCATTGCCAATCAGTGCCGGTATCAGGTAAATAATCTCAGGGTCACGAAATGTTGCAGAAAAATTGTTTGAATGGTAAATTTTTCCATATATTGGTTTTGACTCCCAGTAGAAGTACTCAAAAGGTATGTAACCGCCTTTAACATTGAAAATGTAATAATCGGAATCGCTAGAAAGAACCGGGCATCCATAAGAATTTGCTATTGATGCAGTCAATTCATCTGCATCTCCATCAGCAACAATAAAGCGAATCCTAAATTCTTTTAGTACCTCCATAAAGACTACTTTAGCAAAGGCTGGCAAACATGAACGACCATCTTTAGGATAACTACCATACAAAAGGCAGGACGAAACGCATTCTGCTGTCTCCTTTCTCCTCTTTAGGATGACTGGGCCTTTTTCTCCTTCGTAATCCACACCATCAAACACAAGAATAGGCTCTATGTCGGATTCTTTTAGGTTGGTCAAGAAAGTCCTACATTTCTGATCAAGCTCCTTGTACTGGCCGCCATATTTCCAGTCTATCCCGTCATAAAGAGAGTAACAGCAGCTCATAGCGTCTATCAGCAAAGGGCCTCTTAGTGGAGGATCTTTTCCTATCTCTTTCCATTTGTAATTCTTTTTAATGTAGGTTGTAAGGCCCCAGATACCCATGATTTATGCTTGAATTTCAAAAATGCAGGAGATCAGCCACACCCTTCAACAAGCCACGCCTTAAACTGTTGACTTCGAGCTTCATGTTCATCATGAAAATTTAATTATTGTAAGAAAGATTACACAACAAGAATAATAATTATGATATCTAAATGTATTATGTACTCTATAATAGTTATTATTTATGAAGTAAAAAATAATGTTAGTTAGTTATTGTGTACTTTGCGGCAACTTGCACACATTCATTAAATTTTTGTAGAGACACTCTAAAGGAGATCCAGTTACCATCATGCTTGCTTTGATGCCATCAAATTCTATTTCTTCCAAGCAAGCACAAAACATGCAGATTTTACCATCAAACATAACTGGAGAAGTAAAGTCAAGAGGACGCTTGAGGAAGTCATTCAGTTTCATTGCCTCATAATACACGCATTGCCACATTGAGAAAGAGTGGAGGCTGTCAAGCTGCTGATCAGTAAACTGTCTTGACCTTCTACCTTGAAGATTAGACTCACTTATGACATCTCTTCCTGCATCTCTTCCTTCCTCACTGGAACAAACTACAAAGCAAAAGAGAAGAGCATCAATTTGTTGTTGAGTAAGGGCCTCAGCATTCCTGCTCCAGTAATGCAAGGACAGTGCAACCAGCTTCCATTTATTTTCAAACTGGCCCAATTCATCTGGCGAGACTCCAAATATACCACAAAGCAATCCAAGTTGATCTGAACTTTGACAGTCCTCCAATTTCGCTGGCCCAACAGAAATATATTGCAAGTCATGGCGGCCAACACGCATTCCTTCTTTAATTTTTTGTTCCTTTAGGTAAGGTTTTAATAAACCATACAAGTGGCTTCTTAGAGGTACCCCAATCTTCATTGATGACTCTTTTTTAGGATTATCTACAGTAGTTGGCAGCATGCATTTATTGAGAATCATCGGGTCCAGTATTGAAGTTGAGAAGCATCCAGCACGATATTGCTCAAGTATCCATGAAGGCAGTGGTGTCCCAGTGGCTGTTTCCAATTCTGTGCTCTTTTTGGTATCATCAATGTTTATTTTATCAACTGTGTACATTTCTTTTGCCTTGCGAAAGTTTTTCCTAACAATTGCTATACTTTCAGGCTTGCAGGAACATGACGAGAAGAATTCCTCCACTGATGAAGATGAACGAATTGAGTCCACCACATCAGATATCCTGTTACTACTCCCACTTGTTCGTCTTGCGCGACCAAACTTCCCTCTTGTTGCAAAAATGCTCGACGATGATCTTTTGTTAATTGATGCCATTACATCATGCCATGCACCTCCGCCATCAGAAATAAAATCATTGCTGGCGAGGGCAGGTATGAGATAAACAATATCAGGGTCACGAAAAGTTGAAACGAAATCAGTCCAGTTGTAAATCTTCCCGGTAATGTGATGCTTACAATCGAACGACTCGAAAGGTATGTAGCCACCTTCAACGTTGAATACAAAAAAATCAGAATCATTGGAGAGAACTGGGCATCCATGATAATTAGCTATAGATGCAGTCAAACTATCTGAATCTCCATCGGCAACAATAAAAGGAACGTTCATTTCTCTTATTACCTCTGACATTACTATTCTAGTAAAAATTGGTAGGCAAAAACTGTCAGTACCGTGGCCAGTCAATAGATAAGACGATATGTTCTCTATGTCACTCTGTTTCCTTTTTACCAGAGTTGGCCCCTTTTCCCCTTTGTAGTCCACACCATCAAATACGAAAATCGGCTCTATATTAAATTTCCGTAGGTTTGTAACGAAATCGATGCATTTTTGCTCAAGCTCTTTGTATTGTCCGCCATGTTTCCAGTCGATGTCATCGTAAAGACAATAGCAGATACTCATCGCATCTATCACCAGTGGTCCACTTAGCTGCGGACCATCTTTGCCTATCTCTTTCCAACGGTAGGACCTGAGCATGTAAGTTTTAAAGCCTCTGATGCCCATTTTAACTCTTTGCAAACGAATCACTTGACAGTATGACTTTGCAGCAGATTTATTACACCACCAAAGATGGACTATGGTATGAAGGGGTGGCAGTACAGCACAGCAAGAAAAACAATTAGATTAATCACCCAGATAACCAGTTATAAAGAATTTTAAAACCATGCAATCACAATAATGAATCATGATGCAATATAGATCTAAACTGCAATAAGACAACGCCTTCATGCACGCCCACATCTTCAGTCAACAACAATGTCTGAAGATGAAAGAAGTTTCTCTACTTCTCTTTCTACTCTGTTTATTGAAGGAGTATTATCTTTTCTCCGTGGGATAAAAGACGTGATACTAGGCTGTGTATTTGCCTTAAGCATCGTTTACAAGTGAGAAATAGACTAGTTATGAAGTGTGAATTAATCAGTATTGTGATTGTACTTTATATTTTGGGGTTGCTTGCTATTAGGAATAGTAAAATAAGAAGCAAAGTGGGCCTATCATTCATATTAAACGGATTCATTCTAGCTGTGAGTGATCAAGTAATCATGACGCAACCACTCGCCCTCCCCTCCCCTTCTCCCTCTCTCTCTCTTCCTTTATTCTTATTAGTCAAGTATACTCTTGTTTGAACATGTTGTTCTGCCGGTAGTATTGCTACTGACCAGCTGGACATTAGGTAAGAGTAGGGGAGACAGAGGAAAGGGAAATTCTGTAGTATTATTAATTATTAATCAATGTGGAAGCAATTGATTTGGCAACTGGAGAATTGCCAAAATATTAAAGAAACACTTACTGATCTTCCTCTCTTCTATTTTATCTTTCTTTTCTTTTCTAGGTCTCTTTGGTAAGGATTTAACTTCCGAGCAGTTGTCCTGGTTGGAATCGTTGCTCTCTTACACATTCACTGGTCTATGGATGTTACCAATGTTCCTAATCTGCACTCCAATAAACAGCATATGGTTCAGGGTATGACACAATTTTTAAAAAATAAAGAAAGTCTAATATAGAGCTAATTAAATGCTGCATTGTTTTAGCTGATAAAATTCCTTTATTTATTTCATTTAGGAGATTGCTATTGAAGCAAATGATCAAGCAGCCAAATCACTTAAGAAGAAGCCATCAAGGTGAGAAGTTAATCAAGAGATTCCTTACAATTATAACTTGCAGGTGGAATTTCAAATTAATGATTACCGATCTCCTTTATGCAATGGCTATAGAAATAGTCTTCACAATACAAGTACACGCCCTCTCCTTGCAGTCAAAAATACACTCATTCTTTACATCATTTATTATTTCATACACTCATCCTTTATTTCATTCATCTCCCCATGTAGTCAACAGCAGTAAACTTCTTACCAGTTGGAGGCTCAGCCCTATCGTTAATTCACATGTCATTCCTCTATTCATTGTATAGCTTTGAGTACAAGTGGTTCTATCAAGGTATTAGCACAGTTCCATATACATTATTAACTACTTTAAGTTCCATGTACAGTACATTATTACATTATTGCTACTCTGCACTTGAAAGGTATAACTGTGCAAAAGAGACTGAGTTACATTGAGCTCCAGTGGCCATATTTCCTTGGATTTGGTCTGGTCCTTTCACTCATCACTTCTGCTCCTCTTCTCTCTC